CGGGGGTCGGGAGCCAGTTGCACCGCGAGCTCCAGACCGATTCCCGACGAGCAGCCGGAGATCAGCACGGTCCGAGGTGCGGTGGCCATGTTGATCCGTTCCCTGGACGTGTGACCTCAGCCGGGCAGCGCCTGGCTCCCACCAGCCTTCCCGGGCTCATCCGCTCCCCTCTAAGCACCTTCCCACTGATCCCCTGGAGGGCAAAGGGGCCCCCAGAGCCCCCGCTTTTGCGCCGATTCTGAAGAGGCAGCTGGGTGGGGGGTGGGGGGGTTCTTTAAACTCTCCACAGCTTTTCGTTCACTTGTGAAAACTTTCTCCTCTGCACCTGCTACCCTCCTAACCGGTTTGTAAAGTTGTTACTTTTTAGAAAGAATTATTTTAAAAATGTATTATTATTATTTGGTATAGGGCACACGTGCTCACGGGAGAGGAAGAGAGAGGGACAGTGAGAACGTAAGTGGCCAGGTCTGAGACCGGAACCCTGGTGGCCATGTGGGAGTCCAGGACTTTCACCACCATGCCACCTGCCCGCCCCAATTTTCACTCTTTTTTTTTTTTTTTTTTTTTAAGAATTATTTTAAGGGACTAGCAGTTGGCGTAATGGCTATGTTGCTGGGCTCCCTGGGGGGTGATTTCTCGCTTTCTGTCTCTCTGTCTCTCTCTGTCTTTCTGGTGAGCGCACACACCCTATAGTAAAAACCTCTCCAGAAAAAAGAATTATCTTATTTAACTTTATTTGTTTTATTTTAATTTGACCAGATAGAGACAGAGAGAGAGACAGAGAGAGATGGAAAGTGAGAAAGCAAGCAGCCAGGTCCGGGACTTGAACCGTGGTCGGCTATGTGGGAGTCCAGCACCCTCAACCACCATGCCACCTGCTGATCTCCAATTTTTACTTTCTTTCTTTCTTTTTTTTTTTTTTAGAGGTTTTTGCTATAGGGCACATGCGCTTACCAGACAGACAGAGACAGAGAGATAGAAAGCAAGAAATTACCCCCCAGGGGAATGGTCACGCCGCAATTCCTTCTCCTCCATTCTCCTCTCGGGATCTTGGGCACACACGCACACGCGCCTGGCGTGAGTTTAAGCCACCGGGTCTGGAACTTGAACCATGGTCCACTACATGGGAGTCCAGCGACGTAGCCATTACGCCATGTGCTGGTCCCTGGGAGGGCTTTTAAAACTTGACGTTTCCTGTTTCCTCATCGTATATCTCTCTAGCTGCAGAAGGCGGGTTTTCGATGTTTGCATGTAATACATGACGATCAGACCGAGGATCTTACCGTACACATCATTTTCAACACAGAACTAGAGATGCTTTCTTCTGTTAAGCCTTTCTTTTCTTTTGGTTGGAGAGTCTTAGCCTCGGGTGTCCCTGGGAAAAAGGAGGGGGAAGAAAATTCTCCCTCTCCCCTCCACTCTGGGGGGCCCACCTCCTCCTCCTCTCCAGGGACACAGAGACTCTTTGTCTGAGTCTCTGGGAGGCCGGGAGAGGCTCTGTCTGAATCTCCCTCTTCCCCAGTTGGGGTGCAGTTCGGGATCCAGGACACGCCTCTTTGGTTCCTCCCTAAGAAGCTTCCTGTCTTCCTACATGTGAGTGCTTGCCCAGTTACACAGAGGCTCTAGATCCCCATCCCTGGGGCTTCTTCAAGCTGGGGGGTCCCAGCAGAGTTGGGGAGGCCTCTGCCTCCCCCCAGGAATTGCAAGAATTTACCCCTCCTCTCCCGTGGGCAGGACCCTGCTTGGGGTAGGGACAGACGGCTCCGTTTGATGGAGACCAGCGTGAGGATTTCAGATTGGGGCTGGGGTACCCATTTGAGCACCAGAGTGAGGGCTGGGGTGAAGATGAGACTGTTTGTTTATTTAACTTTGTTATTATTATTATTATTATTATTATTTTTAATTTGACCAGTGAGAG